ACACAGACATAAATGTAGTGAATTACAGATTTATTTGCTAACTCGGCACCACTTCAATAGAAAAACAGCTTCACAAGTTTGGTCCAACATGTCAAAACAACTTTCATCTGTTCCGTCAGAGCATTTAGGATTAGAACTGACAATGTAAAATAAATAAAAATGAAATTGGCTGAAATAATATGTAAAAATAAACTTCAATAAGCTTTCTTTGAAAAGGTTCAAAAAGTTAATTTAGGAATTCTAAATATAATGCAAAATAAAACATAAAGCGTGACATCACCCAGCACTCAAAGCATAGAATTATACTGAATAGATCTGTCCCTGCAGATCGGGCACATGGTCACTGATACCGATGTAGAATTTTTTTTCAGTACTGTGACCGATACAGATATTGATATCGGATCGATGCATCTCTGGTTTTCACTTTTTCAATTATTCAAAGGCAATGAATTCAAATCACATGTGTCAAACTCGAGGCACGGGGGCCTAATCCGGCCCGCCATAGCTTTTTATGTGGCCCTCTAGATTCTAGACTAAACACTAAACATTAAGTTATCAATAAAAACAATAAAGGTTTTATCTGTTCACTGCCAAATTATATCAATCAGTTCCTCCAGTTCCTTGAGAGTTATTGTGGAAATTTATGGAAAATCAACAAATCACCTCACTTTTTTGCACTAACATACAATTGGGAGTTAATTACAAATTTTTCTAAAAAATGGTCAAAAGCTTTCTTGCTTGTACTAAAATGCTGCCTCAGCTTTAACTGATGTCAGATTATAGTCTATACAGCAAGTAATAGAAAGTCACACTTACTGTCATAGATATTAGTGCAAATATTGCAGATATTTCTAAAATATTGTCACAAACACTTTGTTTTTTATTGCAAAACAAAATCACAAAAAGAATCCCGTAGGGACTGAAAAGATGTTTGATAATATTTCATTTTAGAATTTTATTCATATATTGACAGTTTGTAAATGGGTTTTATCAACACACAACCGGCCCTTTAAGAGCAATCATGATCTTGATTTGGCACAAAACGGGAATGAGTTTGACACCCCTGCCCTAAATCGACTGGTAGAAGTAATGAAAAACCAACAATTAGTTCATGTTTAATTAGAAAGTGTCCATACAATAAGTAACCCAGACAGTTTAAAGCTGTTTGCTTGTTGGCTGAACTCCGCCGCTCAGGAGAGGGGAGGCACAGCGCTGCGGAAGCTGCTCATTGTTTAACAAGGAGTTTCCATCCCGCCGATTCTGAGCTGAAGCAGAGAACTTTGAGGAAAATCTGGCTTCGTACAATGAAGTTTCCCAAAATGAGACAGAAGGTATTTGTAACCAGTAATCCTTTCTACAGTAAAATAACTGTGTGTATGTTTGAATGTATTTAGATTTATGAATTCAAGTTATTACAATTTAAAATTAAATCTGCGTTGTAAACAGTTTGCTTTTTTTCTTTCTCAGCATTTTGTTGGCTCTAATTGCCATTAATATGTTCTAAAAGCTATGCCTGTCATTAGTGATTCTGGGCAGCTTCATGTCTATTGTTCTTGCAGTTTCCCAGATGGCTCCCCTGAGCTCACATTGTACAAAACTACTTCATCACCTGCAGTTGTTTATATGCAGAGGATACACAACTTTATATTTCAGTGTCACACATGGCTGCAGTGGTTCACTGCTGCTACATAAGAGTGTTGATGAAACTGGAGGTAAAAATCAGTCCATTTGTGACCCTGTATGGATCATCAGGTGTAGATGAAAGGATGTTTTGTCTAAATTCAGACCCAGATGAACCTGTGAGGTCTAAAATGATCTTTGGACATTAACTTTGGATTATACATTGAGAACATTGAAAACTGTTACACATAAACAGGTCTGGACCTATGCTGTACCACAGCATAGGTCCAGTGGGTAAAAATACCCACTGAGCGATATGACCCCATAGCTCAACTTTCTTAGTTTTATACTTAGTTTTCACACAAACCAGCCCTCTAATCAAACTAAAACTTTCACTTCTATATGAAATACTTTACAGTACAAAATCTACAAGTTGATCATGAATAATTTAGAATTTTTCTTTAGATATATTTTCAACTAAAGCTAAACAGTCTCAGGCCTTTGCCATGTTTGACATATCTTTATAAAAATGAATACCTTTATTATATCATTAAAAGAAATTTGGTTTGACAAAAGTTTCCACAAATCCACCCCATAGCTTTTAAACATACCAAACCCATAGGGGGCAGTGTAGCACCTGAAACAATCAGATTGCTTCAAAACAAGCATGACTTTCAGTTAGTGCTTCCATGGCGCCAAGAGGGTCATATGTGTGGACAGATGCGTAGTTTGAGCTAGTTCTAAATAGTGAATGAGAGTGTGAAGTTTATAAAAACAAACAAACAAACAAACAAACAAAAAACAAGGCAATGTCAATTTGGATTCTTGTTGAAGGAAGTATGTGGATATACTGGTGCATTACTTGTCGCAGACTGTAATGCGCGGGACCCTAAAGCTCCATTTTCCCATCTACCTACACACACAAACGCAAATACAGAGTTTTCTTCTGCTTGTTTTGAGTTATATGAAACAGTACAAAAGGCATAAAATATATATCTGCTCCCAAACCTGATCTTTGCCAGAATAGAGACACAACGTAACAAAAAAAAAAAATTATGCATACTTCAGTTATCAGTGAGTTGAGGTTGCAGTGAGACTTAAGCAGCAACAGGATAATGTATCATCACATTAATAATGTATCTCCTCCTTACATCACTGAACTGTATTTTAGAAATGTTGTCACTGTTCCAAGAGGTACAAAGTAGTTATGAGCCTTAATGCATCTTAGAGTTGCAGGTGTTAACCATGTAGAACAGCTGAAACCAGAAGTTTACATACACTGTTTAAAAAAAACACGCGACTATTTTTCACACGGTCTGACATGAAATCAGAACAAACTTTTCTCGTCTAACGTCAGTGAGGGTTTGCAAAAAAAATAAAAATTCTATTTGCTAAATGTCAGTTGTAGAAGTTTTCTCTCCACCAGGCAGTTTGTTGTCTCGACTCTGTTTTCATTTCAAACTTCCTGAGAAGGAGAGGTTACCTATTTAAGGGAACCGTTATCACCGCCATGTGATAACCCCGCTGAGCAAACATGCACAGATGTGTGCTCTCATTGCCGGCTTGACCCTCTCACAGGAAAGTGCTGACCGCCTTCGGACAGAATGTTGCTTCAGTTCCCTCCATGTTGGGAAAATAAAAGCCTCCTCTCTGAATTCAGCTGCAGCAGCAGAGACAGAGTGGCAGGTGCATAATTAAAGAAAAGCTCTTCGTTTGCCTTTCAGGCGGGAGAGAGCGGGTGAAAGCAGGGGTGTTGGGGGGTCCGCATCATTATTCAAGATCTTTGCTCTTGGCATGTGTGTGTCTGTGTGTTTTCAGAGGGAGGAGCCATCTTGGTGGGATGATGTCTGGATCCTACTTAACTATATGGTCTGATCAAGGAGCAAAAAACAAACAAACAAAAAATCAGAACTAGATTAATTGTTTGTACTTAATTTAAAAAAAAAATTCTGCAGAGTTAAAGCTTTGATTCCTCATTTTTCTGACATGAGGTTTTCAGACGTTTCCCAATATTTCAGAAGCAGAATTTCTCTCTCTCTTTTTTTTTTTTTACTTTTGCAGCCACAATCCTGAATGTATTATTGAAATTTTAAAAGATCAATAACACACAGCAATGTGTAATTGTGGAAACAAGGAAAGAAAACCTGAAGAGCAAAAAACTGAAAACTTCAGCAGTCAGTTAGTAAATAATCCACCTGTGTGTCATTTAATCTCAGCATATATCCAGCTGTCGAACCAGCAGCATCATGAAGCTTAAAGGAGGACTAACTTCTGAGACAACATCCCAATATAAACCCACACAGACATGGGGGGTTCAGCTGAACTACTGCCACGTGCAAGGAGAGCATTAACGAGAAGCAACTGGTTAACTCTGGAGGAGCTGCAGAGGTCCGCAGCTCAGGTTTTTACAGTTTCCCACAAGCCATGAGCCACACAGAGGACCCATCATGTCCGAGATCCCAATGTGTGTCAGAAAACAAACACTGCACATCCTCACAATGCACATAACAGTGGAAGTAACACGGCATTTCCTCATCAGAGACAGAGCTGCTGATGGCTCATGGGAAGTTGTTGGAGATAAATACACACCCATCCTGGAGGAAAACCTGCTGGAGGCTGCAGTCTGAGGCTCAGCCACCAGCAGGACAACAGCCCAACACTTACAGCCAGAGACAACGGAATCGTTTGGATCATGGAATCATTTGGATCACAGCGTATTCATGAAGGTTCTGAACCCAGTAGAGTATCTGTGTGAATAGCTGAAAACTCAGAAAAATAGGATTTCAGTCACTATCAGTGTGATTCTGATAGAGACAAACCATTAGAGAGGGAGGATGAACACAAATACACGTCACGCTTCAGATCGTTATTTCTAAAAAATACAACAAAAAATAAAAAATAAAAATAAAAAGGTTAATAAGACAAGGCTCAAGCACTGATAATTCATGATAATTATGAACTCTCCACACTGGAACTGGAAGAAACATCTAACAGCTCAACAACCAAAAACAATAAATAAATGAATGATGATGTCTTCTTGCTTCAAAAAAATATGCATAATCTGAATGGAAGTCACTGAGCAAGCTCATTTGAATTGATCATGAGATTAATTCATTCATTCATTAATTGATTATTGTGACAGGTTAAGTTGTGTGGTAATGTGACAAAAAGGGAAAAAATGTAGAGGCTGTGAATAGTTTTGCAAAGTTTATATTTGATCAATAACGAATAAACCATCTGGGAACTCTTGCAGCAAGTGCTGCAGCCAAACTCATCCGATGCACACCTGTTGCTGCCCAGCAGCGATGCACATCCTGCCTGCTCCCGCACACCCGACCCCTCTGCAGAACGCCGCGGAGTTGGTGTGGTTGTGTACTCACTCAGTGAGAGCAGCAGCCAGGTGACGGTCAGCGTTTGGATCGTCCTCATCCTGTCTCTGTGCTGGTCTTCCTCCAGACGGATCTGTCCTTCATGCAGCACAGCTCCTCCGGCCCTCACCTTGTTTTTTGGAGATGTTGATCTGATTACAAATGCAACTGTCACGCCTTTGTCCTTCAATTTGGTTCTCAAGGGAAAATGATCTTGCTCAGCTTATTGTTTTTTTTTTTTTTGTTGTTTCTTTTGATGCAGGACTGAAAGCAAAGAATGCTTTTGTTGCTCTCTGCACCGTCTTTGTCTCCTCTCTCTGTGCGGACTTGGGGATTTGGGGGAAGAGTATTTCTGTGGTCTCCTTGGCTGCCCCGTTGTTCTTCAGTCGCTCTCCCACAGAGGCTCCGTCCCGTATTGTGCTCCAGCCGGCCCCGCTCTCCTCCAAAGAGTTGAGCTGTTTGCAGAGCAGCAGTTCGGCCCTGCCTTCCTTATCATGAGAAAGCAGGGGCTGACCCAGAGCAGTCCAATCCCACTGCTCCTGGACTTTCTGCTGCTGCTGGGACACTTTGAATAACAAAGGAAGCCAGGAGACAATGTGTTCCCCTCGGTTTGGATTCAGTTCTAAAACGGTCCGTTCCTCCAGGGCGTGGGGTGAAGTCACATCAGAACTGATGTGGTCCGATCTGGAGAATATGGCAGTGCATTCCAGCCACCCAAGATGGAAAAATCTCAAACTTTTTTTTAGCATTTCTGCTAAAAAAGTATCAGAAATATTCTAGGAAAAACAGGGAAAAATCCGAATTTGAAAAGTTGCATATTTGCTAGAATATGTATTAGCAAGACTTCTTAAAGAAAAAGTGTAACTTTCTATCTCATAATTATGATTCAGAATCTGAATATGATCAGTCAAAATTATGGCTTTCACTCACATAATTATAAGTTTAAAACCTGCATTCATGACTTCCTGTTGGGCTTTGAATTGTTCTTTATTGGCAGAAATGGAGTTTCATAGTATAGTTATGAAAAAATAAGAAAAAGAAGCAAAACATCTTCTATCATTTTACACTATACAATTATGCTACTTGTTTGTCACATAACATTTCCTAAAGTACAGCGTGAGGTTTGTAGTGTGACAGGATGTGGAGAGGTTTCAGTTCAATAAAAGCTATGATGGGTTTCATTGGTCCATATTCATATATAAAATGCTTCATTTCAATAGAAAACAGCAAAACTTTAGAAAAAGAAAGATATGGTGAAAAACATAACGGTCAAATTAAAATTAAAGGAATATTCCTTTAATTTTGTCCTCTAACTGTCCTTCCTTGCATCAGCATCGGCCTTTGACATACACAGTGACTCATCTATCGTCGAGATACTTGACAAAAATTAGCTGCTTTTGTTAATCCAGTCAGTTCTGCAAAACCTAAAATGTTATCTTTCAGTGACTGTATCTTTAAGAGATCTGGTTCAGACCAACCATTAATGTGTTCTGAGCTGATTGGTCATGAAGCTTTAGAAAGACGAATACAAGTGTCTCAATTTGGTCAGAAGTTAGAAGTTGCGTTTTGGAATAGTGTCACATCAGGAGAACCTGTCTGTCGGTGTGATCCATACCGAGTCGAGATAGTTTGGATCCATAATGAGTCGAGATAGTTTGGATCCATACTGAGTCGAGATAGTTTGGATCCATACTGAGTCGAGATAGTTTGGATCTCGACTGTGACAAAACATTGATGTTTTATTTGCAGATGGATTTTGAAAGGTGAGCCTTTTATCCAGCATCAACAGCAATGTGACTTCTTCCAGAAGCGTTCCTGTTGGTCCAACTGGCTCTGTGTTTGACTTCAGATGAAATTCGTCTAAAGTTCTGCTCTGCAGGAACCTCTGAGTTCATTTGGCTGCTTGTATCCACGACAACCAATATTCCCAACTGTTCCAGGAATTGCTTCCACTGCCCTTTTCTTTTTGCAGAGTTTCCATTCATGTGGCTCCAAATCTCTGACTGACAGGAAATAACTGGACCTCCTCCAGATCCTTTTCTTGATGCAAAGTACATAAGCTAAACACTTTCATTATTATTAGCACACTGTGTTAGCATGTAACTGCTAACTGCTTCGGGGGAGTCATTTAAGCTCCGCTGGCCTTCTATGGGACGTCTGGACGAATACAGAGAGATGAGATAAGCATCAGGGTGGGGGAGACTCCGTGGGGTTTCCTGCCTTCGGAACTGTAATGAGTCGTTCATAAAACATTTTGGAGATGAAGCTTCAAAGACACATTTGAAGTCAGGAGTCATGCTCAGATGGCAGATCTGAAAGTGACTGTTAGATTAATGTCTGCATTCATAGCAGATCCTATCATCCAAGAAACATTTGGTGTTTATTGGTGGATTGGATGTAATGCATGTAGTTTTTGTCAGTTATAATCTCAGTGTTTATATTACCTCAGTGTGTTTTATTCACTATGTGTATGTAGCTGCATGGCAATCATCCAATCACATGGCAGCAATTCGAAGTGTTTAGACATCCAGACTCTACAGTCGTCTTTTTGCCCAGTGAAGCTGAGTCATCCATGTGCTTTTCTTCAGGTAACTAAAAAATATGCTGCTTTGATAGAAAAACAAAACAAAACATGCTGTGACAACAATATGTGAGACAGTAAACACATCTTCCAGCTCAGCAGCCACACCGTCCGGTTTGGGTCTTAGTTTGCAGAACTGAAGCTTAATATCTGCGTTTCATTGACCGTGTCACTGCGTTTCAAAAATAAATTTACACAATGGAAACATGGCAATTTTAAAAAATACATAATTTTTCAATAAAACGTTCTGGTTCTAAATGGTGTTTTGGAAGTGCCGCAATTGGTCTATTTTGCAAAACTGTAACAAAAACATTTTTTTCACGTCACACGAGTCACTTGATCAACAACCGGATGTTGCCACTGCTGCAAACCACAAAGAAGACGATGACAGGAAATCTCTGACTGACAGGAAATAACTGGACCTCCTCCAGATCCTTTTCTTGATGCAAAGTACATAAGCAATTGTACTTTGCTAGTTGGAGGCTGAAGGTGCAGAATGATTATTAATGACTTATTGTGTCAACAAATGTATTCACATATGATCTTAATTGTCTTCCTTATTTAATGGAAACATTGCAATTGCAAAATTGTGTTTTTACAACATTAGCAGAATATAAACAAAAGTTTGCACACATGTAATGGAAATACAGCTTGTGATCTTATCGGTGGTAATAGCTCCCTCACCTGCAGCAGATCAATGTCACGTCAACATGTTTATGGGCGACTTTAGCAATGCAAAAGAAAACTGAGACGGTTCTTTACAGCAGGATAGAAAGTCAAGTTAGCGGACCGTGACAGGCTACAACCTCCCATCAGGCCATTGTCCTAAACATCCTTTATACATTTTGGAAACTTTCTTCTGTTTCTGAGTGATTTTAGCTCAAACATGGTAACTTCAGCCAGACACTCACTAGAGCTTTTACACAGAGATAACAGAAAAACTAACCAGTGATGTTTTAAACTCTGTATTAGCACAAACCATAGAAAGTGAAGTAATTTTAAAAGTAGTGATGATATTTATCAAAGACAAGAATGGCTGGTATCACAAGAAAATTAATTTGAAACTAGCACAGGAAGGGCCACAGTGGAGATGTGGAGCTTTTGGCTTCTTCTTTCTTTAACCAGACTTTGCCATTAAAAAAAAAAAAACATAAAACAACAAGAAAAACCCTAAAAAGATCTGAGCTGAGTTCAGTAGGAGGCTCAAAACGTTTCAGCTGAGTTTTAAGACGTGATGAAGGAGATAGGGCTGCCACTGAATGAAGCAGTTTGGAAGTGTACTACATCATAGATATGGCTAAATGTATTAGCAAAGTCAGTGGCTAGTACAGCAGCTGAGCTCTGCAGATGTTTGACCCTCCACTGTGTGACTGGCCCAGTGGAGCTCAGCCGGGCCCCTGGAGTCCGGGCCCCACAGGGTCTGCTGTGGCTAGCAGCTCCGCGTTCCGCATCAAAGAGAAGATGACAGACGGAAACTGGAGAAAGGGAAGGATGTGTCACAGCGAGCAGGAACATGGCAGGTTTGAGGACAGCAGGATGCTCTTCATTCACTTTGATGTTCACGATAGAGTCTACAGACTGAAGACGAGCTGCTGCTAAACACCATCAGCAAAACTGCACAAAGGAAGGAAAACTGTTTGTAGATACTTTCACCTATTTAAATTTAAAAAAAATCTAATCGCTTCACAAAAAACTAGTTTACACACCAGAACTCCCACCATTATGTTCTCTTCTCCAAAAAAGTAGTTTTCCAAGTTAGTATTTTTAAATTGCATATAGTGAATGAGAAATAATAATGTTTTTTTGTGTGCCTTTTCATTAAGTTGGAGTTCAACCTTCATAAAAACAGAGACAGCTTTGCTCAAGCGCAAGATACAAATATTTAAAACATTTATTTCATGTAAAATATTTTTTTTCATCAGAGGCCCAGTTCAGAGGAGGAATAACTGACATTTTTAATCTTCATTCATAAGTTACTTCTGTAAGTGCGGCCAGCAATATTCCCTTACAGTTATTTTTTTCTTAAGGAGTTAACATTGTGTGCCAGACTTTTGAAAACTTTTCAAGAAAATTTGAATCCATGTCTACCAGTGATTGTACAGAATAAGCAATAACATACACAAATGTAAAATATAAAAGGACAAAAAAGAAAACATATAAAAAAAACCAGAAACAAAATCATGTGTTTATTAATAAAACCTAAACAAATCTCTTTTTTTTTCTATTTTCTACAACATCCTGCAGGTGTTTTTATCTTATTTTTCACATGGGCCCATCTTCATCAGAGCAGTGATGATTCTCTGTGGTTTCCTCAGTCTGTAGGTCCAGCATCTGTTATCCGGCTCTGCTCCTCCTCAGGGCTCCATGCAGCATCCCTGAGCTTCAACAGCCTATCACAATGAGGCAGGAATGTCAGCAATGTAGGAGCACATTTTTCCCTCTCTGTCCCTCACCCCTCCTTTGACACCCCATCTCATCCCCAGTAACCTCATCAGAACCTTCTCTGTCTCCTTCACGCTCTTCTCTACTCTTCAGTTCCCCCTCACCCCCTCCGTTCTCATCATGGCACATAGCGTACCCATCTCTTCATCCCCTCCTCTTCACCAAGATTAAACCTCCCACTCCAGCGCTCCTCACTGCTTCACCCACCAACTATCAGAGGTTGCTGACATTTTGGGAAACACATTCTAAGGAGATAAGGAAGTAATCCTCCTTGTGATTCTGTGAACACTTACATTCTGGACATTAATTTCCCTGGTTAGAGTCCAAAATATGTAAAAAAAACAAAACAAAAATAAAACAAAAAAACACAGAAAACGTGAAGTCACTCATCTGGGTTACCACAGGAATACCACAGGGATTGGTGCTTTGTCCAATACTATTTCCTATATATCTGCTTCTATACTGTAAAATGATCAACGTTTATGCTGACGAT